CACTATTCTTGGACAGCAAGCCCGTCTTTGGACAGTAAGATTGTAAATGCCGAGTCTGGAAATCTCTGAACTCATGTTCGAACTTCACCATCTGGTGGGGACCAGTATTCTCTCAGGGCTGGATTTGGAAGCACATTTGGAGGTGTGCTTGCTGTAGCTTTTCCTGAGGTGTCAAAGGGAAGCTATTTTGAGAGATGGGTCTTGCAGCATTATAAGTGTCTACATACAGCTCTTCAAAACATGAGGCTTTCCTGAAAATATTTTTCTGACTTGTGCTCTCCTAGAATAAAATTCATTCATGTGCAGAAAGCTGTGTGCCATTAGCTCCCTCTATTTGGGGATTTCATTGCAGCTTCAGTGATATTCATCCTGTGCAGAGGTGTTGTTCATAGAGACTGAGCATTTGCATTACCTGCTTCAGTACCAAAATCCCTACCTTCTACTGGGATGCTGAGGAACTAGCCCGTAACTTTTAGCCAGATTATCATTTCACTGTTTACTGCAAACAGAACAATGTAATGTTCTCAATTCTAGTAATCTCAGATTACCAGATTGGGACCACTCAAAGTTGATTGAGTCAATTTAGAATAGAGTTTTGACCTCTCCACATCTTCCACTAAAAAAGGCTATGAAAGTTTCCACAATCACTTGAAAATAAACACTTTACCTTTAAAATTTTTCATTATATTTTATGTTCAGATGCTAAAGAAGCCTATGAGACAGAGTAGTCCCCTGGGAATGTTTCAGCCCCTTGATATTTCCCAAAGAAAGCAGGCCTAATGCTGCTTAATTATTGCTACATTGAATCTGGAACAACATAATTGTGGTTAAACGCAATGCAGGAGAAAGTTCTTTAACGTACAGATCTCTCACCTTATTATTCAGTATTTCCTATGCAGAAATTATTATGTGAGTAAATCTGCATGACATGAACTGAAAGGCCACAGTTTCCATGAAAAATCAGACAGACCTACACAAGTGCTATGCAGTTGCACAAATGCAGAAAATATGACACACAAACACACACCCCCGGAGATATGACAGACATAGAGTGCAAACACTTACTGAGAGGGCAGGATATGCATAAAGCATACAAGACACATTTAACAAAGCCTGAAAGCTATACCTTCTCCATAGATACAGAGTAAGCATGTAGCACATGCACATCCCAAAATCACCAAACTTCTTCTGGTAGGTTATGCAGCACAGTGGTCACACACAGGACTTCCAGGCATCCATGAACTGCAAAAGTAGCAACTGGACTGAAGACAGGTCTCCAGACATATACAGACAGATTTGTAATATGTGCAGCATTAGAGCTATAAAGTCCTTGAAATCATCTTGGACAGTATCTGAAGACTAAACGAGAGTATGTGTCCATGAAAACCATAACCGTTAGCTCTGTGAATAACAGAGAAAGCCTAGAAATTGCAGTCAACTTTCAATTATCCATGTGTGCTCATGCTTAAGTCAGCGTGTATGAGGAAACAGTCAGGTAAAACCAAATTAATATAACATGTAATATATACATATAACATGTGTACTGTAGCTTACAATTACATAAGCTTTGTAAAAATATGAGGTAGTACATTACCTTTCAAAACATTTGTAAATAGTTTTCAGAAAGATCTTTGAAAAAATCACTAGCCAGAGCACCATCTGGTACCGATGACTTCAGCTCTGCATCTCAAGTATCCCAGTATCACTTTCCAGTCTGGGGCAGAGTGGGAAGTTGGGGCATGGCTCATCTACCACCTGGATTCTCCAGACAGTGATAATCAATTGTTGCCTGTACAGGTTTTGTTGGAAAGGATATGAGCAGATAAAAAGAATAAAACTACTGAAGCAGTATACAAAAATGAGTGAGCTTTCTGTAAAACCATAACCATTTATATTTGCAACATAAATGTATATGGTTGAATATTTGTGGAGTATAAAGCTTTAAAGAACTTGTTTCTACGAACAAGTCAAGTGAAAAATGAATACTGAACATACACAGGCAAAAAAATAATGCAGTGACTTCATCAGACCGTTGTGTGATTTTGGCTGGCTAAGGAACAGAGCTGCTTTTTTTTTTTTTTTTTTTTCCCCTGCAGTTGTTTTCTATGCAGTCTTCAACCACCCTGCAAAGGAATTAACATGACACCATGCTGTGAAACAAGGAAGTACTATGCATGCATTCCCCTATCAGAGCATTCACAGGATTCCTAAGAAATTAAAAGCACATCTACCTACTTGAATTTCATGTAATTTGGGGGATTTCATTCTTCTCTCTACCTCCCAAGGCTTTTATACAGTATTGCATCTTTATTTTTTAAGCCCTTGGCCTGCAACAAGATGTGCTGACAAGGATTTTAGGTGCATAAACTTCTCAGCTGCAGTACGTAGACATCAGGTTCCAAATGCAAACATCTTATTTCAAGCTCATGTGGTTTAAACTGGAGAAAATATTTCAGGATTATTGTTTTTCCTCCCTTCCTTTTCCTCAAGGCTATTCAGAAAGTATATTACATTATGCAGTTTGGCTTTTAAACTTTTATTGAAAAAGACAGGTATGATTATGCACTTAGGTTAAAAATTAGCTTTTACAAGATAGTTTTACTTAGACATAAGTAATTTTTTGAGTGAAAACAGTCCTTTTGATTAAATGTGAGACAAGAATATAGATTATTTTAAGGCATGAGATTTTTTAAAATAATAATTAACTGAAAACATGCTGTACCATACTTAACTGTGTGGTCTTCAGAATTATTTAGGTTGTGAATGTATTTTGCAAACCCTCTTGGTTTTTAAGTTTACAGTAACCTTAAATGGAACAAAATGGTCCAGTAAACAGATCCACATGCAGATGCACACACACAATTACTTGTTCCATTTAACCAAGAAAAGCCTAAACCTGGTCTCCCCAAGGCAATGTCACAACCTGCAGGCACGTAGGACTGCTTCCCTATGTGTGTTAACAAGACCCCTGCTGGTCTCCTTTCACAGCAAAAAGTTTCTTTTCTGCTGTCATTGTGTCAGCACTTACTGAAACTGGAAGAGAGCAAACTCAGGGCACTTTCTTTACTGGTTTAGGAAAAAAAAAAAAAAAAAAAAAAGTAACACACAGACCCTATATAGTGCCAAAGCCTTTTTGTAATAGCCAGTGGGGAGGACTGGCTCTAGAAGTAAATGTTTTTAAACAGTGCATTGAGCTATCCCGAGGTGCCAAGACAGACCGACTCCCTACCAGAGAGTTGGTGCGAGGCCGGCTTGCAGCGTGTCCTCACCGCGTCAGAGAGATGGGAAACAGGGCTTGGGACCAGCTGCACCAGGGGGTGCAACATGGTGCCAAAACACATGGTCTGATGGGGGAGAGGACTTGGACCACTGACATCTGGGCTACGTGCTGGCCACTACTGCTTTTGTGCAAAGGCAATGCAGCAGGTACCTCACTGCACCATGAAATCCTCTACCTGCAGATCTGTATAAGCCTCCTCCTCCCCCCAGTACCTCTTGCAATTGCCTAACCTGGGCTTCCGCCCCCCCAACACACATACACGTTATCAATACAACCAGACAGTACCCCCAAGTACAGAAGAGAAATGAAGGGTATTTAAAATAAGAGCAGTGTTTTAAAGTTTTTACTTGTTTGGAAGTGTTGAGGTATACAAACTCTGTTGAACTAAGCAGCTCACGTGAAGCAAAACCCTCTGAATTACAGGATAAATCAGAAACAAAATTATTTTATTAAGCCACAATGTAAGACACATTAAACAAAGAAAACAATTTAGAGACATCAGCATATCTCTTGCTCAAACCCAGAAAAGGCAATGCAGAGACAAAATAAAAGCTTTATTCTTATCCTGCCCCAGTAAAACAAAGGTATAAGAACACATCACCTCTTTGCCTTGCTTTGAAGGCAGACCAGCCGGTGATGAGTTTGAGCCAGTGTTATATCTATGCCTTCAGCAGACCTTTGAAGATTTAGTAAAGTCTTTATTATTCCTTCAGTGTGTAAGGGCTATGCATAGTCAATCTACATAATGGATTCACAAATGAAACAAATTTAAATTAAAAGAAGTATTTTTGTAGTTCTGACATATCAAAATCAAAGGAATATATCTATCAGAAATCACATATTTGCATTTAGTTTACAATTCATGCAACAAACTAGGAAAAAAAAATTATGTCTAAGGGCACAGTTTACTGTGGACTAAATGACAACATTTCGCATTTACAAAATCAGAGCTGTTAAAATAGCTTAGAGCATGAATTAAGCAAGCACAGATTGTCAAACATTTAAATGCACTTCTACTGCATAGTTGTAAAGGCACTTCAAAAGACTACGGATTTGCAATTGTATAGACCAGAGAGGGAGGAGGGTTATTAGGTTGCCTATTCAGTAACTTCTTGTCCCAGACAGTCTGCACTCGTAAGAGCAAAAGGTCCAATTTACAAACACCTGATGACATAGGCTTGTATTGAAAATGCTGAAAGAGCCCGTCCTTCCTATGCTAGTAACAGCATATACCAGCTCAAGACACATGTATGCCCCAACACTTTAACACTGAGGGGCTTCAGAGTTTTCTAGATGGCGAGTCAAGCTGGGCTTTCTGTGCCCTTCCAGCACAGCGTTACAGACCTACAGAAATGAGCCACCTTTACCAAATCTGTAATTCCAGTTCCCTGGAACCTTATTCCACTGCTGCCACGGGCAATCGCGAGCAATGATCAAGCCTCCCGTTTCAAGGACAAAGAGGCAGTACTCAGATTGCAATCACTACTTCAGAGCTCTCGTCCGAGAGGGGATAGAGCAAAATAAAACTTGTATTTTAGTTAGCCGACATCTGCTATGAAGATGCTAAAAATGATTACTAGATATTGAGTGAAGGTCACGAGGCTTATCTAAGAATATTGGGAGAGAAAAACAGATGGGGGAAGGGGGAGGGAGAGAGAGGGAGAGAGCACGAGCACTGCAGCAAAGAAGCTATGCTCAGCCAATACATGCTGGCACTTACCATAAAAATAGAAAGATCCAAACAGAATCAGATTAAGGATCCTTTTTATCTCTCTTCAACAGAAAGATTTCCACATGAAGCTCTGAACACAGCTGTCCAGGGAAAAGCAAGGTAATATGATGATACACAGAAAACACTAATACACAAATGGTAAGTCCTTTCACAGCCTTCCAAAACCTGCAAGCAGTTTGTGCTGAAAAACCAAAGGTAAGAAGTCTGAAGACAGTCCTACATAACACTGCAGCTAAAACAGACTGCTGTATCTCCAGTCACTCAGACTGCACTGTTTTCATCTTCATCTTCTCACCATTACTTACATCCTAGAGGTGGGCTTGGGGGTGGAGAAAAGAGATTTCTCCTCCAAGTGGAAAGGAGCGCAGAAACAGCATCAGCATTTTTAATCAGTCACTGAGAGTACCCAATCAGAGGAACTGAGTGGTGCCAGTGTGACAGCTGTCCAAGGCAGGGCAGCCTGGCGCGCCAGCACGTCCCCGGCTTGCACAGGACCACTGCCGGGCTAACGTGCTTCCTAACCCCAGCAAGGTTTTCTGTGCCCACCCGCCAACAAGCCGTCATCGTGCCCTGCATCTTCTCCTCCGAGGAGCAGCGCTTTGAAAGCTACAAGCTTTTCTGGGTTGCTGTTCTGACAGGCTCTTTCTACATCTGTGCAATAGTACAAAAGCAAGAAAAGTTTGGAGATTTAAATATCAGCATCATTTAACTTGCAATTTATTATCCAGTAGCTTCCCCATATAAAATACACATTAACCATTGTTTTCTCTCCAAAGGTTTCTTTTTGGAGGAGAAGGAAATCTGTAAGAGATTTTACAGCACAGCCCCACTACTGTGAACTGCCTTGTTAGAGCTAGCGCTGGTTTTGACATGACATCATAGACTCCTGATGGTACCAGATCCCCAGAAAATAGGCAACAAAAGTCCCTTTCCCCCTACGCACCAAGACGACAACTGGATTAAATGTTTGTGCTACTATATATCATACCATTGGACATCAAAAAAAGAAAAAAAAAAAAAAAAAAAAAAGACAGACCTCAAAAAAAAAAAGACAGACACCCTTAATTCAGAATAAGGATATGCAGGACCTGGAAACAAACCTTTCTATGGTATTTAACCCATTGAACCAAACTGCACAGAAATGTGATGCAGTCAACATTAAAGCTGCCAAACACTGTAACTTTCAGGGGGTGCTCCCAATTCTAAAATACAAATGCCTACATTTGACTATGGAGAGATAAATTCTTCTGATCCTACTGCACAATGCAGCGTACATTGGAGCAAACCTAAATACAGCATGCAAATTTGCATTTATTTAAAGCAAACACTCTTCCAGTAGACAAAGTTAAATGCTTACTTTTTCAAAACATTTTTAAAACAGTCGGTCCTGGATTTCTGCCATATCACAAAGTAAACATGAATATCATCCATCTGATATTCACATTTCAGAAGATGAAAAGGCTAGGCAGCATAAGAAGGGGGGAATGTGAGGAAAACAAACCTCAAAGCATTCCCAGCAGAGGTACCCATATTATTTGGTCAGTATCAGGTATCTATAGAACATACCAGGTAACAACATAAGCTAACGAGGGGCTGTTAAAAAAATAAACAAACAAAAAAAAATTAGAGGTTCTATGGCCTGAAGTGCAGACTAACAATTCAAAGTGTAATCTAATACAACTAATGTGTTCTGAAATGTTTGACAGTGTGAATATAGTGCAAGAGTATGTAGTTCCACTAGCAGGCAGCAGTGATTTTCACCTAACACCATGCTGGTATACCATGTTGGTTGTAACCAAAATTATCTTTTAAAAAAAATTAAAGAAAAAAAAAGATTGTTTCTCCCCTCAGATGACAGGACATTGGAAGAAGGTCCATTACTTTTCTGCATTTCATTTAGGTTTTAATAGGCTTGTTTCATGGTATCAACAGAACATGTATGATATTTATTCCTCCCTTTGCATAAACACCATTCATTCAAAAACCACAAGGTAACAGGTAGGTGAAGGACAGAACAAAAGAATAAATAAGAAAGGAGAGCAATCACCATATACAAATAATGCACAAAGGATATGTACAGATGACAGTACATATACGTATAGGTAACCAAAATTTAAAATATAGTCAATATAGGAGTGAATACAAGAAAAGGAGGAAGCAGAAGAAGAAAATACATTTAAACTCTGCAGCAAGCTTTCAAAACATATTGCAGTGCTAGCAGAAAGATTACTATTTAACACACCACATGCCTGATGAAGTAGGCAGTTTCTGTTTTAGGAAACTGAGTACAGGAGACCTTCAAAAAGTGTCTCAAGATAGCCATTACAGAGAAAGGCTGTCCACAGGCACCCCTAAGATTGTGTTTCAATATTCATTCTACAGCCAATGTTACATAGTCAAAATCCTGAACTATATAATAAACGGAGGCGAAATCAGACACAAATCCCTTGTAAACAAAACTCTCTAATCCTTTTTTTTTTTTTTTTTTTTTTTTTTTTTTTTCCTGTAAGGATGCATGAAAAGAACCCAAACACTGGTGTAGCTTTCTTTTCTCCAGAGAGCTGTTAAGTCATAGTCAGAATTTAGTGGACAATGCTATGAATATTTTGCAATGAGTCTCATAGCAAAGAAACCTGGGCCTGAACTTTGTAAAAAGGAAGGGACTGGGGGGGAAGGGGAGGAGAGGGGAAGAGACATCTGTCCCTCACTTTTCCTGTGTAAACATGGGAGGTGTGAGAAGAGGCTGCGCCCACAGAAGTAGAAAGAGCTGCTGTAATTCCATCCGCATGCTCTCTGGTGACAGCTATAACAAACCAAAAGATATGAAGAAAGTCTAATAGAATAATTAATTCAAGCTTTCAGCTAAGAGCAGAGGATTGAGCAATCAAGTAATTTAGGTTTAAGCTCCTATTGAGGCCACCTTCGAGAATTTGGAAGAAGTCTCTGACAGATGTTCAGAGTGGATTAAGTGTGGGGTCTGTGTTTCTGGTGAACAAAAGATCCCAATTTCTTTGTAGTGCTTTGATTATAGCTGAGGGAATGGTAGTAAATTCCTTTGGAAACCTAATTTTTTCCTCTCCTTCATTTGCAGATGGTCCTCTTAATATGCCTCAAACTGTGGTTGGTGAGGCCACAACTATGTGTCAAGGACATTGGCAACCTGCTTAAGTGTTACCTTTCAAAGCACTTCAGGAATTAGGAATAATGAGGGAAAAACACACATATGTCCCCAGAAAGAAAATAATTCTCTCTTCTATTTCAGTAAAACAATTGCTGCCTGGAAAAAAAAAAAAAAAAAATATATATATATATATATACTGAGACCAGCTGTTCTTCAACATCTAATTAAAGAGAGGGAAAAATCTCACTTTTTTTTGGTGAAAGGGAGTCAAGAGCATGTTGTCAGTCAATACTGGGGCTTGTTTTATTCTGTCTACCTATTTTTCCAGTAAGCAAAACAAACTCAGGACTAGATGGTCCAGAGATGTTCTCTATTCCTCCCCAATAATTTATGGGACAACAGTTCAAATCAGCATTCCTGAGCTGGAAGGTAAAGGTGATACCCAGAATTTAATAAAGCTCCGATCTTACTACTGGAGCCTCAAATGAACTGCCAACTGCTCAGAAAGAAGTGAAGGATTTCATAAGGTGCAAGAGCGATGATGAAGTCTGGTGCAGGTCCCAGCTCAGCAGCACACATCAACAGTTGACTGTCTGAACAGAACACATTGCAGACAGGAGAGGGAAGAAGTAGCATTAAGTATAAAGGAATAAAACATAGATTTCAGGGAGAGGTGTTTAAATTTTCAGTGGGTAATTTAGGTGTAACACTTTTGTCTCTCCATGCCGTCAGGATCGCTCCTGCATACAGAAGAATATTTCCAGGGTCTGAACTAAACAAAGCAGACAAGAATTAAATAGTAAAACCAAGAAAGTAAGAAATGCATAAAACATATCTTCCTTGTTTGGCGAGAGTGCTTGTGAGCCTCCCCAAGGCGTTCAAGCACTGCTCTGATGCTGGGTACTGAGAAGCTTGCTGAGAGAAACAAAAAGCAGCAAAGTTTCTGCTAACTTTATCTTTGTTGAAGGTGACTGAAGGAAATCAGTACTTGGTACTGCTCAGTTTGAACACCCTTCAACTTTCTGATTTTACTATTTTTATTATCCATTAGATTGAAATGCTTTCTGTTATCAGATTTTTAACCTCTACACTGGTCTATTGAGCACTGACAAAAATCTCCTTAGTTGACATCTTGGTAGGTTTAGATATTATTAGTCCATCGCATAGTTCTTTTGCAATTTTTCAGGACTTTTTTTTTTTTTTTTTATGTCAAGTAGGAACTTAACCAATTCTTTTAAAACACCTTAAAAAGAAGGTATCTTTCTGCTGATTCTAAAATAATTTAATTTGTAGTTTCTAGTTAGAAACTGTTGAGTGAGTACTGGAGTGAAGTTTTCACATTATGATGTAACTTTCCCTCTAAATACAGAACAGATATTTACTGAAAAAAATATTTCTGCTTTTAACATTATTATGAAAATTTCTACTATTTCTACAAGAGATCTATAACAGACCAACACATTTTAAGTAAAAATTGAATTCCTAACATACTGAAAAATCTTTCCTGGTTATAAGAGGCACCTTACCTATTTTCTACTGTATTCAACATACATTACTTTTCATAGCTATCAATAGAGCAAATCTTTTTCTTTTTTAGTATTTTTATCTTACAGTTATAAAATTAATATGCTTTTCTTAGTAAGACTTCACTCTTCAAAATGTAATTTTCTTGGAACAAATAAGATGTTCTTAAATGACTTTCAGATAAACTATTCATAATTATAAAAAAAGTTACTTCATTTTTCAAAGCTGTTAACAATCAAGCAGGAATTATCAGTATCAATCCAAGAAATTTTTATCAATCTTTGTTTTCTAGAAAAGTGGGGGTTTCACAAGCTTTTGTTCATGCTGCTGATGCATCATTTGAAATTGAAAAGAGGAGGTTCTGAACTACAGGTACAGATGGAAAGGAAACGAAAAAGCATGATGGACTTTGAGAAAAAGTTGTTGGTTAAGCAAAATCAGAATGACCACTGAGAATTTCTACTTTTTTTTTTTTTTTAAGGCATCCATACAGCCATTTCTGAAGTACTAAAAATATCCAGATAGAGGAGAAGAGAATTAGTAACCATCTAGAGAGACTTTCATTTCTGCAACATAAATTTAAATCTAATGCAGGCAGGAAGCAGTACAAGTAACTGACAAAACTGTATGTATAGAAGC